ATCATTGGAATTAAAAAAGCAAGTTCACAAATCAAGATCATAAATACTTATTTACTATTACTATTATAAAATCATTTTATTTGTATTAATCATTCATTCAGTGGGTGAGTATAAAGAACATTTATTAATCATTGGAATTAAAAAAGCAAGTTTACAAATCAAGATTATAAATACTTATTTACTATTACTATGATATAATTATTTCATTCGCATTAATTTAGTTAGTAAGTATAAAAATTATTTGTTTACATTAGATATAAAGTTTAAAATAGCATAATAAAATATTATATATTACATATATTGTGATTATAAAGTAACTTTAAATATAGAAAATGTATCTATTGTAATGAAGATAACACAAATAAAGCATGGTGTCTGTCATGCAACCCTGATATAGAAACAACAAGGTAGACAAGTAAAAATAAGGATATTGATGATTGTATAAAAAAGTTCTAACTTAGAACCTACATATAAGAAAATATAATCGAATAGATTCCATTTGATCGATTATCTGATGTTAAAGAAATTGGCAAAGAAGGATTCGGTTCTGTATATTTAGCAAAATAGTTGGATGGTATACAAAAAATTAATGAAAATAAAATTGATGATAGCAACTATTCCTATAAAAGATCGCATAAAGCATCTAGCATTGTTGCACTCAAGACTTTGTCTGATTCTTTAAAAGAAGTAAATTAAATCTATTTATTCAATAATTTATTAAATAAATAATAAACTAATTTATTTCATTTGATTTATTTACTTAATTATAAGTTTGAGAATTATATAACATGTTGCTTGTGAGGTAGTAAACTTAAAATATACGGATTAACTCAAAACAATAAAAATGAATATCTGATGGTATTTCAATATACTGATAACAGATATCTTCACAAGTTTTTAAGAAACAATTTTCGTGATCTTACCTGGCAAACTAAATTAAACCTACTTTTTGATATTTCTTTCGATTTATATAATATTCACTGGGCAGGATACATTCATGCCGACTTTCATAGTGGCAATATTTTACAAGATCAAAGTATTAATAAAAATATGCAATCATATATCTCAGATCTAGGATTATCCAAAAAGGAAATGAAAATGATTCAAAAAGTAAGATTTTTGATGTTATTCCTTATATAGCACTAGAGGTTTTATTAGGTTAAAAGTTAACAAAAGCTGCTGATATTTACGGTTTTGGAGTTATTATATCAGAGATATCAACTGGTCAAAGACCTTTTGATAGTTATAAATTCGATGATGAACTTGCAGTAAAGATTTGTAGTAGACTGCAGCCAGAGTTTGATCCTGGAATGCCAGATTGCTATGTTGAATTTGCTAGGCAGTGTATGGATTCGGATCCAAAAAAATATCCTGATGTATAGGATATTAAGTATAAACTTGAAAAATGGGATAAATGCTTGCAAAGTTCAGATTATGCAAATGAAATTAAAAGCAATTTTTAGAAGCTGATAAAACAATCAAAACATTGCCAATTGTTATACCAAAATATCCTGACATTATGTATACAAGCAAAATTAATAAATAATTAATATATTATGAACTTATTAGCGAATTGTAATTAGTTGACTTTTTATACTTACTCTCTAATAATTAAATTTGAATAATTATTAAAAATGTATAAAATATTCTCAATTTTAAAATAATAAAAATTAAAAAAAATACCTTACTTTACAATCCATTCACGATATTTACCATCATTTTCTTCTACACCAATTCCGTAATAGTAACACCAAGCAGTTTTCCAAATTCCATTGGAATTACCAGCCTCAGCCGACTTCAAATAATACTCGAATGCTTTATGTTTATCGACATCAACTCCAATTCCTAAATAACAACAATACCCAACTTGATACATTCCGCTAGAATTTTTCATCTCTGCTGATTTTTGATAATTAATGAATGCCTTTTTTTCATCCTTTTCCACTCCAATCCCATGTTCGTAACAATAACCAAGCCATAATATGCCATCTGGATCGTTCTTATCGGCTGACTTTTGACAATTATTGATATCTAGTTGATTAAAAGCATTGGCGAACTGAATAATGTCTTTTACTAATCATTCTTCCGTCAATCCTTTATTTTCCATTTCTGGTTTTGATTTGAAAAAAAAAGAGTCAATAACCCGATGCAGTCTATTTATTTATACTTACAACGGTTATACAATCCAATTATTCTGTAAGCAATATATCCTAAATTATACGTACGTACCTTTTAGAATCAGCCCAGTACATATAATTAGAAACTATAGTTACAATCAATGGTTACATTACCTCAACGAATGGCTGCTTAATTTTGTCAATAACTTGTTAATTTGATGAAATTTTTATTGACTTACGGAGTCCTATGGTGATTTAAAAAATTGAATAAACAATAGTATTAGTGGCGAACTATCGAGCGATAAAAAAAGTTATAATTAGCAATTACCTGTTGAACATAGCCATTTATCGAACCAATTCATAATCATAGCCATTTATCTATTAGAAACCTCTTGTTAACTACGTATTGTTCAATTTGTAGTGCATTATGCATAACAGAAACTAAAATAAATCAAAAGTGATACAATTAAACAAAATGCGTAATATAATGCGAGAAACTTCAAACCCAATTTAAACTCCGATCTGATCACGTGGCATGTGCCCGATCACATGACGTGTCCGGTCACGTACGTGGCTTTCAAGATTCGCCTAGAAAAAAAAAATTTGATCGGTAATTTGCATCGTAAATTACTCGACCAAAAAAAACCTGCTTAACCCGAAACCTTGCCCCCCTGTTAGCAGGAAATTTGGTTCAAGAAAACCGTTTTAGTTTTCTTGAACCGGAATTTGGTTCATGATGAATCATTGCTGATTCATATGAACCGAGATTTGGTTCAAGAAAACCATTTTAGTTTTCTTGAACCGGAATTTGGTTCATAATGAATTATTGCTAATTCATATGAACCGGAATTTGGTTCATGATGAATCATTGCTGATTCACATGAACCGGAAATTGGCTCATGATGAATCATTGCTGATTCACATGAACCGGGATTTGGTTCATATGAATCATTGCTGATTCACATGAACCGGAAATTGGCTCATGATGAATCATTGCTGATTCACATGAACCGGGATTTGGTTCATAATAAATCATTGCTGATTTATATGAACCGGAAATTGGCTCATAATGAATCATTGCTAATTCACATGAACCAGAATTTAATTTGAACCATAAGTTGGTTCAAATTAAAATGCGAATCTTGAAAGCTGCATGATGTTACTCATGCAATCAGATCTGAGGGCCATCAGGTTTGAAATAACACCTGTCAAATTTTGTTTATAGTATCTTACCTGTGAAATAATTGGGTGGTGCTCATTTCGCCGACAATCACTTCACCGACAATTAATTCACCGATAAGTTCATTTCACCGACAATTAATTCACTGACAACTCATTTCACAGACAAAGTAATTCTGGTCATTGTCGTTAAGGTCAGCTAGAATTAGAGTTAAGGTTAGTGTAATTTATAAAAAAAAACTTGTCGGTGAAATGAACTTGTCGATGAATTAGTTGTCGGTGAAATGAACTTGTCGGTGAATTAATTGTCGGTGAACTAAGATGTCGGTGAAGTGATTGTCGGTGAAATGATACGTATCCAAATAATTATGCAGATCATCAATTCAACTAAATCGAAAAGAGCAATAATTAAAAAAAATCTAAAAATAAATATTTTTAAAGTTACCTTCTGAAAAAATGTAATAGAAAATCAGAATCTAATAAAAATTTGAACCAAAATTAAGTAGTATTTTCAAAGCTTTACTGTTGTCACATATAAAACAGCCTATGACCAAAAAATCATAATACTGTTAAAGAAATACCTGATCAATGCATACATTCGTGATCGAACTAAAATCAAATGAAGCATGCATGATCGCCCCAAACAATTTAAAAATCACATATAACTATATCGGGTATGGATTAAATATATGACAATGAGGTTTCTGAGTAGCGACATTGTGAACAAATAGTAAAAAAAAAGTGGTAAAAAAAAATCAAGTAAATAGAGTAAAACATTAATAAAATTAATAAAATATTAGATATGAAAATGCTTAAAAGGGACAAATAAACATAATATTCTACTTAGCTTTGGTAGTGCCCAGTGTGATGGGCTCTGCGGCGACGGTTCCACAATATATGTTCTTTTTTTATTGTAGTTATTCTATTCTATTTTATTTTTTATTTTATTAGTTATACAGCATATATACATAATCACTTCTGGCTGTGAATTGTTTTTCTTTCATAGAAAAATCTAGTTAATATTTGTTTAATAACTTTCCTAAAAAGTAGTAAGCGGAAAGAGATCATTACCTTAAATAAAAATAATGTTCACTATACGTACGTACGTACGTAGTCAGCATGTTTAACATAGAGTTATATAATGATGATCACTAATCAAGATTTTTATAGTGTTCTGTGAATCGACGATAATTTAATAGTAAAAACATAAAAAGCTCAAGCTGCAATAACTCTTGAATCAGCAAATCCACACCAATAAAATTATATTTGCCGGGTTCGTTATAATGTGCTCTTTAACGTGACAACGCTCTTTTTTTTATTTTTATTTGTCTGGAGCGTAGCGAAGGGAATAATGAAATACCAAAATTCTCGTTTTTGATTTATTGTTACCTAATAAAAATATCAAAAAACGTAGCTATTGCATATTGTGTCACAATATGCACAGAAAAATACAAAGTTACATTTTTGTTTTTATTAATAATAAATCAAAAACGAGAATTTTGATAATATATCATGTTGTCACGTTAAAGAGCACATTATAATGAATCCGGAAAATATAATTTTATTTGTGTGGATTTGCTGGTTCAAGAGTTATTGCAGCTTGAGCTTTCTATGTTTTAACTATTAAATTATCATCGATTTACAGAACACTATAAAAAATCTTGATTAGTGATCATCATTATATAACCTGCACTATATTGTAATTAAACTGATGTTGTATACCCCAATAGTCGATATAGTAAACATAGCGAACATGGTAGACATGTTGGATATGTTGGACATAGTGGAAATGTTAGCTATAGTCGTCATGTACTTCATAAGTATATAAAAGATATAAAAGACTCGCCTCTTCGCTTGAATAAAGGCTAACTCTGTGGAGTTCAACATTAAAAAATGCTGCTTTACTAATTCCTCCCGATAAGTCAAATCCATAATAACGAAAGGAATTCGTGACCAAATCCCGTGACTCTGTATAAAGAGATTCGTGACGTAATTCAGAGCTCTAATCCGACACTATTACTAAGAACCCAATTAACCCTGGTTACTCGGACCAAGTCTTTCCACGCCTCGATCATTGCCTTACCAATACTAGGGTTTGGTTGTACTAGTTGTGGTATTCTGGTTAGAGTAGTTTAGTTAGTATTTAGTGTTGTGTTAAAGTATATATTGGCATTATCTAGAATCAGAGAATTATTTACCTTTTTACATTTGGTGACTGTGAGATTGAACTTCCCTAACAACTCAACAAACTATCCAAAACCTCCGATGTCTAAAGCTATAAATCCATAGCAAAATCAGTTTTTTGAGGAACCTGTCTTAAGTCGTAACGATAGAGCTTGGTCTGGCGAGGAATAAGACCTGCGCAAAAAGGGATAAGATGAAACGTCGATGGATGAAGTAAAGCTATAAGGAAAATATTCTTACAACCCGGTTGCTCCGACTAATAAGCAAAGGCAAAGTTAGTCTAATCGTGCTTCTGACCCAAGTCATTCCTTTTTTCCTCCTTCTCCATGTTCCAAGTGTTTCTGACTAGCATAACCCGCCGAAGCTCTTATTGTGATTTTATGCGTGGTACGCTGGGGTCATAGACAGAAATTCGTCTGATTGGTTAGTTTTTAAGGTCGATTTGTAGATCACACGTGAATATTAACCAATCAAA